ACCCCTTGGCCTACTGGGCAACCCGCAGCCCAATGTGGCTGGATCTGGCCACAGTTGCCCAGGAACACCTGTCCTGTCCACTGACCAGTGTGCCAAGCGGGAGGGTGTTCAGCATGGCTGCGGATGTTGTGACACCCCACCGCACCTGCTTAGATCCTGGTTTGGTGGAGCAGCTGGTGTTCCTCAAGGTGAACCTCCCGCTGCTGGGGGTCCCCAAGCGGCAGGTGCAGACGGAGCGAATGCCACCTTCCTCACTCCATCTGGATCACGAGTTTTGTCTGTCAGCAGCCTAAGGTGCAGTTTCCCCCAAACCTCTGCACCTATCACCGTGAAAGTTGGCAGGCTTTGTGGGCTCCTCAGGGGCCACTGCTCAAGCCTGCAGTTTTGAGCTCCCTGTGGCTTTCCACACAGAAATCACAGGAGGTTTTCTCTCAAGAATTTGGGGTGCTGTTTCTCCGACCCCCTGAACCTATCTTGTTGAAAGTTGGCAGGCTTTGTGGGCTCCTCAGAAGCTACCATTCCTGCAAGTTTCATCAAGATCAGACAAGAAATGCCAAAGTTATAGCCTTCTTCGACCTTCCCCATTATAGCCTATGGGGAAGTTGAAGCAGCTCAAATATTCGACTGAGCTTCGACCTCAAGTTGAAGTGAATGGCAAATTGAAGCGGGACCCAGTTTACTATTCAACATGGCTGTCGAATCAAATATTACCTGCTCTGCACAGCCCTAGTAAGTATACCATCACAAAATGCCAGAGAAACAAAGGGGAAAAGGAAACTTACCGTGGCAGCGAGCCCAGACAGGGGAAAAGCCGAGCAGAATTCCCTGAATGTTAATTAATACTATCAGCTGGGGGAGCTAGTGGGGCAACAAATGGGAAGCTACAGCCAGACACACAGCTAATCTGCACAGGAAGTTAAAAGAGGGGCGACTGAACAATTTGGTCTCCTCTGGTGAGGGGAGCAGCACAAGGGGAAGGTTGTGGGGGGTGCAGCGGTGGCATGTGACCAACCAGGGATCAGCAAAACAGTATTCTGCAGACAGACTTACCAGAAGAGCGGAGACGAAGAGGGAGTTGCTGCATCCAAGCCAGTGGGTTTGAGTCCAGTAACTGCAAGGTCTTTGTTCCTGAGACCTGAATAAGAAAAAAAGATGGATCAAAAGTGTGAATTTGGGGCGTTGGCCTGGGATAGTCCCTCCCTGAAGGAAAAGGGTGGTGAGATTATGTGACTGTATATTTGAGACCGGGGGGTGGAGAGGAGGGAGCAAATAACGTGACAAGAGGTCAGTGGAAAGAGACCAGCTGCCAGGATATTAAGCAAGGCAGCATAGCGATTATGACTCCCTAGAGGACAGCTTGTGAGATCAACACAAACACCTGGTGTGCTAAGGACAGGGTATGGGGAGCTGGTGGAGCCCTGCGAAGAGGAGCCAGCCTGCTAAATTGCAGAAATTAACATCGGATTTACTTCCCAGAACTGTACCTGTTTGGTTCCTTCCTTTCCATCTAAGTCAGGGGTTGTCAACTGGTAGTACTTAGGGAAGGCCCTAAGGGGTATGCATGGGTGGGTGGGGATGGAGCACCATCACCCACCTCCCTGTGCTGCTGCCCCCCCAGGATCAGGGCTGGGGCAGGGCAAAGGCAGCAGGACCCCATTTGTGGGCTACACAGGTGCCTCCCAGCCAGTTAGATGTGGGGGGGCACAGTGCAGAGTTTGCATGTGGTGGTGGCCACCATCCACCACCCTACGCTGCTTCCATTCGAAGCTGCATGCCATCCCCCACCCCCACCCCGCATCTGGCCACCAGGGGTACACTTATTAAAAAAAGTTGAAAACCCCTGATTTAAGTAGTGGCAGGTGAATTTAAAGGAGACTATGCAATACAGAGAAAGGGACTGCAATTTGCTTTTGTGGCATG